TGGGCGTGCCTACATCCTCCTGCTCCCCGGACCCAGGCAGCCGCATCCTGGGTCCCTCGGCGTCGGCCATAACGGCCATCCACGCCCGAGACCAGGCGGAACTCCCTCGCGGTGCTGCTCCATCGGATCCCAGCAGGGCCTCGCGCCTCGGTCCCAGCGACACGCCCAGGAGGCTCCCGCGGCCCTTTATTCACAGAACCGCAGGAGAGTTAAGTCCGTCGCGCTGAGGGGACACTGAGGCCCAGGGCGGGTTTGGGAGTTGCCAGAGGTCATCTGTTCGCAGTTCTCTCTCCCTTATTATCCTCCTACCACACATGCACCTGTGTTGGTCACGCCAGTTTGGTACCCATCCTGGCTTCCAAACCCAGAGGTCTTCCATTCCATTCTATTCCACCCAGCCATTCTTTTGGTGGCCAGCTCAGCATTACCATCTGCCCACTTCTCAAATTCATTCGCACATCATTCATTAGTTTTATCCCCCAGCCCCGTTTGTCCTGCCCACAGCCCTAATATTCCCCAACCCACTTCCCAGTTCCCTTCCATCTCTGACACCAGCTCCCATCCCCCCACAATCCCATCTATCACAACCCTAATTTCTTAACGTTGCCTGTTCTCCCTATCCGTTCCCTCCACTGAATGTTGGGAAACCGCTAAGTGAGTTGACTTAAAATTCTGTTTAAACGATTTTTAAAGTCTCCAGAAAGAAAAAAGGAAGAGGGAGATGTGGTCCTTTCAAAAGCTGGGCAAGAAGCCAGGGGATGCCACAAGGTTAAAAGTGGTAATTGGAGTGATTCATACTTGCATTGGTTCTCAACCTGTGGGTGGTGACCCCTTTGGACTTTGAAAGACCCTTTCACAGGGGTCGCCTAAATACATCCTGCATATCAGATATTTACATAACGATTCATAACAGTAGTAAAATTACAGTTATGAAGTAGCAACAAAAATAATTTTATGGTTGGGGGTCACCACAACATGAGGAACTGTATTAAAGTGTTGAGGCATTGGGAAGGTTGAGAACCACTGCTTTAGAGGCTTTCAGCTGAGGTGGGCATGAGTGTGGCTGTGGGTCTTGTTTTCTTGTCAGTGGGCATTGAGTGTTAGCACTTTGGGCAGACAGAATCAGTGAAGCTGAGAGTACAACCTGTTGGCAAAAGCTCTCAGCTAGTTGATATTAATTTAGTCTTAACTGGAGACCAGTGACATATAGGATGTTTTGAGTTGAGAGGACAAGTGATTGGAGTGTGGGCTTTCAGGTTGTGCTGGAGCAAAAGCCACTACGTAGAGTTGTGATTACCAGGCTGGGTTGATGTCCAGGGACCAAGAGAGGTCCAGATGGCAAGGTGGAGCCAAGCTGGGGATACAAAAGGAGGGGATGGAA